AATGTGTTGCAGCATTTGCATAGACATTGCGTTACTTTTTTAGCATCTAGGGGTGTAACATTAGACATTGCGGATACGGATGCTGATGCTGATGCTAATGCTGATGATGGCAGCACTCTCATTAGCACAAATCATTGTCAGCCACATGCATGTTGGCGCATATATCAAGGCAGCAAGAACAACAGAAAACAAAAAAAAAGAGGATATCATATATATGCAGGCCTTACAAATTATTAACATTATCATCAGACAACAGGCGGGCTTACAAACACACTCCCATACTCGTAGTATGCCCATATGGGCCGCCATAATCCACTGTGGAAATGTACAAATGATTTTCACAAACGCTTGCAAATTGCAACACCAAGCACTTGGATTTGGACTTGGAGGTGGACTTGGAGGTGGACTTGGACTTGGCTGTGGTCACACTGCTAAGTGGACAAATCTACCACAAATACGAAAATCACCCTCATTATGGCCGAAAACGTAAATTCCTTAGGCCCTTGTTGTTGCTGCTGTTTTCTTTTTTTTCTCTCTCTCTTTTTATCGCAATGTCGACAAGACCACTGGCCATGTTAACAGACATACGACTCCGTCTACGTTAAATGGTCGACACAAAAAACAACAGCAACAACAACAGTAACAAGGACAACAGCAGGAACGGGAGAAAAAAAGGCGAGAATGTTCGCATTCGGTCGCTGTGGACCGCTGTCAGCATGCCTGACACTAAAGTGGTTTAAGGCGATAAGACGCCTGTGGGGGGCTTAGCACGCGGTTTCGCATGACATCGGGTAATGAGTGCCGTTATGTGGCAGGAGGCTCCAGGGATGTGCTCCTGACGAGTGTGTGTTTGTGTGACAAATGCTAATAGAAAGTGGTTTCGCTATGATTGTTATTTACAATTTCACAATTTTCAACAGCATGAAATGCTCTTTTCATGGCTCTTTTAATAACCGTCTAAATGTCATACAAATCAGTAATTTCATGACCATTTCAGAGAACAGTATTTAGGTCTATTAGAATGAAACAAAATCTTAAGGAGGCTAGAGAAACTATAAAGACTGCATAAGAAAATGGTTTCCAATTGTTGCCTACAATTATTTTTTTAAATTTATTAAGATGGTCTGAGATAGAAGGCCTTTTAAACTAATCCGTAATCTTAAGATCGCTGCAAGTAATGCTCTTTTCATGGCTCTTTTAATAACCGTCTAAATGTCGTAGAAATTAGTATTTTATTGTAATTTATTAAAAGGGTCTAACCGTCTAAATGTCATACAAATCAGTACTTTCATCACCATTTCAGAAAACACTATTTAGGCCTGTCAGAAAAAAAGAAAATCTCAATTTGGTGGCTAGAAAATCAAGACTCTATGTCATGGACATAAGAAAATGGTTTCCAACGGTTGCCTACATTTGGTTTTTTTTAGAAATTATTACTCCGGAAGCTTTGTGACAACTGCTAAATATTTATCAGACATCAGTAAGCCTACAATGGGATAAGCGAAAAGGCTGACTCAGCTACAATGCAAGTAAAATCACGCAACTCCTAAATCTATATCTAGAAAAGATTATTTTTAAGCACAAAAATCATTCACTTATGAAAACTTTGAGCAAACGAGAATTACACCAATATCCTTCTTTAAGTATTATCTATGCATGTTCATCATTTAAACATTTTCATTTTTATTCATTCTCTGACAATATAATGATTCATTTTAAGTTTTACTTTACAACTCAACCAATAATCCTTATATCTGAACAAAAAAAAAAAAATCATAAATTAAAAATAATTCTTCAAGTTTAATTTTTTGATCAAAAGTCATTGTTTATCTGGAAAAGGAATACTTCAAGCCAATTAATATCTATGAGTTCTTCTTTTGATTTACATTTTCCATAATTTTTTCATTTATATAATTCAGTCATTGCTTGTGTTGTTATTGTAATCTTTTGACTCTCCCTCTTGTTGTGTTAAGCCCCAACCCCAAGTCCACTGATAAAGTCACCTGTATTTTTCAGACTTAGCCAGCAACTGTCAGTTCTTGAGGCAGCACGTACCCAAAAGCCTAAGAGCACCCCACCATCCAGCCAGCCCGGCTGAGGCGAGTCAAAAGCGTTAAACCGCACCGACACCTACATAAGAGTATCTCCTGATGTTTGGGCATCACCTCCAAACACAATATCCCACAACACACACACACACACACTGACAAGCTGGGTGGGGTCCGGGGGGCGCTTACTAAGTGAGCCATTTATCTTCACAGGAACCTCAAGCGCGACACAACACAACAACGACGGAGCATTTCCTACACGCGTCATCCAATCCAGGCAGACGCCAATAATGCCAGAGCTCAAATAAAACGATTTATATGCCGCAATACCAGAATCAGCAGCAACAACAACACGGCATTTCAACGTATAGTATTTTGTTTTTGGTTTCTGCATTGCCCGACCATGTCAATTGAACAGCAACAACAACAACAGCAGACAGTGGACCAGCGAATAATAATTATTAGGTAAAATCTTTTCCTTTTTCATTGCTTCATTTTGCTTTTTTCCGCTTACAAGGTTACTTCTTTTTTTGTTAGTCAACTAGTTTGTTTCAAGAATCTTAGCTTGTTAACTTTTTTTTTATTTTTGTTTTAAGTCTTTATTGTTTTTTTAAGATCTGTCCTAAGGAGGTCAATTATTGAATTATATGGTAGCATTGGATTTATTTAGTCATGCGTTGTGACGTGATTAAGTTAATTAGCTTAACTAATTAAACTGTGAGGGAAAGCCTGCAATCCAATAAATTGTGGTTAATATAGTAAGTTGAAGATAGCGCTCCTGCTAATTAAGATTCACATTAAAAAATTTATTAAAAATTGTTTGTCATCGCTATTTTTAAGTCGATCATAAGTAGTTCGACAATAAAGTTTCAAAAAAAAAGTTATTGAAAATACCATAAGATGAATGGGAAAGAAACTTTTCAAAACCTCATCAAAAATTTTATTTTTCAGAAGAAGAAGAACTATTTTTTTCTTACGTTGATTATTTCATTTGAAGGAATTTGTCTTGTTTTATTGATATAAAGATAATAAATACATATTCCTTAATATTAAGTCCTATTTAAATGTAATTTAGTCGATCTGTGAAACATAATAACATTTCAATATAGTCCAAAAAGATGACAAAAGAAGCAACTTTTCAGAAGATTATCCAGATATTTTAATTTCAGCAGAAGAAAAATATTTTTTATGAAACTACCCCTTACCTTGTACACCTTTTAAACCCCTATATATATAAAGTTATAAATTCCTAATATTAAGTTCGCAATATTGCATTTTTTCTCCGCGCAAACTTAAAATCCACTAACACGTAAAATTTAAAAATCAAGAATAACTTAAGACAATACATTCACATACCTCCGAAAGCAGTCTTTTCGTTATTGATAATTGGCCAACAATTGAGTAAATCTGGCCCACTGTGCAAGTACGAGTAAATGAAACCCAGGGAAAGAAAAAGCAAAAAAAAAGTAAAGTAAAATCGAAGATTGCTATCTTTGACGGCTTGTTTTCCTGCGCCTTCCCCCACCTTTGAAGTCGAATTCGAAATGGGGAAATGGGGAAATGGGGGAGTTGGAATCGGAATCGGTCGCGTCAATTGTGGGTGTGGCCGCTATTATGTATTGGCGTTGAAACAATTTGGACAGCAAAACAGACCGGGTGCGCAAAACAAATGAAAGGAAGTCGTTTAAAAGTACAAACGGACATTATTTATCCCTCGAACCATTTCTGGCCGCAGAAACTACACGAAAGCATAAAAAAGCAGCAAAGTAGCCCACTCTGCTCAGACACAACACTTACTTCTTGTTGTTATTGTTGTTGTGTCTACTTAGTTGTAATAAATGGAGAGAATGCCACAATGCGTTGCATATAATTTGGCGCACGGACAGCAATTGGATTTTTAGCATCAGCGGCTAGCAGTCGAAAGAAAATCGATTGATTTTTGCTTACTTAAGCACTTTTCGAAAGCTTCTCTGTTAGAAAGGGGGAAGGGGGTGGAGGGGGGGGGGGGGGGGGTGGGGGGCGAGCAAGTAATTTACAGTTCGCATTGGATTAAGTCTAGATATATAGTATGTTTGTCTGTATTTGAAATGAGTTTTGTGTTTTGCTTAACGGAAGCTTAGGGTGCAAAGAACTGAGTGTGTGACAATTCGAGGGCAGTTTTAGAATTGAAAACATTTTAGGACATATCCCAGACATGTAATAATACGAAGGGAGACCTTCAAGCTAAATATAATGCTCTCAACATTTTACAGAACGGCATCAAGCTTGCAGCGAGACTCTGCTCCCCAAATCAGGATATCTTTTACTATGTTTTCCTAAACTAATTAAAGATTAGTACAGGAAGCCTCACGACTCTTAATTCCAACCGATTTACCTCTAACCGAAGAACCAAGCGGGGTTAAAGAAATATCCCGGAAATATTACAGAAATAGTACAGCTAGTCAGTGTTAGCCTCACTAGGATACAGGGATACAGAAACATTTCAGGATCTTAAATTACAGAGCAACTGTCCAGAGAGGCACTCATCTCTCTTGAAAATGACGAAATAGAGGGGAAGTTTCATATCAAAAGCATTACAATATAGTCCTTTAGGTGGAGCGGATTAAGAAGAATTCATTCCGACGAGGCCAGGACTTCAATACAATGATTTCTGCACAAGCTGTAGAAATGAAAAAGACTAAAAAATCGTAGAGGAGCTTCGTTTCGTTACTGTCCAGCACTTCCTAGGCTGAGATTTATTTATTGCTGTAGAGTATCCCTTTCTCTATCATGTCACATAAAAAAAAAAATAACCAAGAGGATTATATGACATCTCAATGGACCTCCTTAGGCCTATGTGTGTTTCCTATGTAGCATCATCGCCCAAGCCAACTCAACCTAAGCTTATGGCGCTATTTGGGAATGTATCTCAGACCAAAAATTAGTTTATAACTTATTTATTAAATTGAAATGTATGCAGCAAGTTTTTTTTATTTATTCACATGTTGGTTACTGCGTTCGTATAAGGAATAAAATAAATGTGAATTGAATTAAACCAATGGATACGATTCTGAAAAATGATTGAAAAGTCTTAGCAGAATCGAATTTAAGTTAAGTGAAGTGCGTCTGAAGAAGGTCGCAACGCCTCTTAGCGATTTTAAGGTTTGGATTCACCTAATAGACCCTTAAACAAGCTAGTCTTTAATTCTTTAAAGTCTGTGGGACTATCGTTTGGGGTTAGTCTTATATATTGCATATAAGGATATCCAGGACTAGGATAATAGCCTGGATAATGACATCTCGGATTGCACATATTGCCCAGAAGTTGGTCGACATATCCAGGCTTACACTTCGCCTGAGTGTTTTTTTTCTCTCTCTGCTCACGCACTTCATCCAAGGTGGCGGAAACCATATCCTTTAATTGCTGCATCTGTTGATTATTCGCGTTTTTCATATCTTGTATTCCCGATAAGGTTGCATTCTTCAGATCGTTTATGGCATCCACGAGACTTTTGCCAACTACGGCTAGAACGGCCGCTAAATTCTCTGATTCTTCTTTGGGTTTGGGAGTAGGTGCTTTTGTTGTTGGCTTTGTTGTTGGCTTTTTTGTTGTTGTCGGTTTTTGTGTTGTGCCTGCGGGCTTTGTCTTTATCTTCAGCAGCACGAATAAAAGTTTTTCCAACATCTCAACCTTTTCCGGATTATCAGCCAAGGTCAATAGCGGACACTCCTTTGCTGGCTTCTTTGTTGTTGGCTTCTTCGTTGTTGTTGTTGGAGCCTTGGTAGATGATGTAGGTTTTCCAATGGCAGCTAGAATGTCCGCTACTGTGAGATCATCGACCGCGTGGTCGACTAATTCATCACAAATTGTGGAAAATATGTTTTTCTGCAATTCTTCAAATTTTTGACCGGAAACTCTGTGGCACTGTAGCTGCAAAAACAGCAACACTTTTCACAACAGATATCATTATATAGATTATATATGAACTAGTATGATGATAGAAATTATTTACCAAATGAAATGAACAAGAGCCGCATTGTGAACAGTTGCTGCTGCTGGTCTGAAGCGATATCTTTAGATCTTGTGTTCTAAGCACTTTAAGGAGCAATTTTTACAGCCTAACTAATTCGGATTTCAAGCATTTCAGTTATCGTTTGAACTCTTACTTTTGTTGACATTCGATTATATAAATGGTGCTTCTAAACAGTATTAAGCAGTACTTGACTTCTAAGACCATGAAGAACAGAAAGTTAAATAACAAAGTGTAGAATCATATTAATTTTTAAATGCCTTCCATGGTAATTAAATCAAACTTTGCTCTTTGATAACATATTATATTTATTTGGCTGCAATTGTCTTTACAAGCTGTATATGACTAGTACGCCCTTTTAAACTTTGAGTTAGGAATGAGATGATAGATGCTTTGATTGCTGGGTTCAAAGACTGCTGAGAAAAGTGAAAATTTCCCAGCCAATGAAATGATGTTACAAATAAAGTGACTAGATGCTCTGTTTAGTTAGCAATTTCAGATACATATTAATATATATAATATTACTTGAACCATTTTGACATGTTCGATAAGTTTATAGAATAAATGTAAAATTTGTCTTTTGCCAAATTGAATTTTGAATTCATTCAAAAACTTTCTAACTCTCTATTGTCAATAATCTTTGAAAACAGAAGAAAACAAAAGGAATTTTTGATTTATTTATTTTACAACATAGATTCAATGCTCATTGAAATAAAGCGCTGGATTTAAAAAAGGTTATATTAAAAGCTGAAAACATTTTTTAAAATATAAACTGAACATTACAGCAAAGTTACGATTTGCAATACAAAGAAATTGTTTCAATTTTTAACTATTACTATATATTTGCAAATTTTTCATTTGTTTTCTTTGGTTACAATGTTTAGTTTTCTGTTTATAAATATACTAAATAGCTTTTGAAATTTGTAAAACGTGCTTTCTTTGACCTTATATGGAATATCTTGCCTTTCTTACTTCAACACCGAAACATTTAACAATATCCTAGTTCAATAGAAGAAATAAGTTGAGCTGCATTCCTTAAAACAAAATTAGTTCTACATGAGAACGTCTGCAGCAAATTTGTAAAAAGGAATTACATCTTCAATATCGGTTAATAAATGCATTCAAGAACAACACAAAAGGAGGTTTTACGAAAAATACAAATTCTGAAACAAATTTGTTTGTTAAGTATTCTGGAAAATTTATGAAATATTTAAAAAGGGACGATTCTTACAGGCGGATATAAATTAGTTGAACTCACTAAACGTTCGTTAATGTTGCCACAATTTAGAAGAGACGGCTGCTGCGATTCTGTATTTTAATAAAATAATATTCTAAGTTGGAAAAGTTTATTTTATTAACATATTAGTTGTGAACCATCCATAATAAGTCTCTTTTTGAAGTTTAAGCAATATCAACGATTGTGATAAGCATCAACTATAAGCATTAGCTGTAGAAAACTATGATCCATCGATAAGATGATTGCGTGGAAACCCCAATTAGAATACACGAAAGCGTCTCCAGCCCAAGTAGAGAGGCTAAGTTGTAAATCTTTTATAGCAATGTTATGGCAGCTATAAGTCCATCTTTCCAAGCTTTTCAACTACCGTACACACACACTCACACCCCCCGTTGGCATTGTGCACACACAGACACATAAATCAAACAATAAGTACTCTTTATTATTATTATTTGCACTTTTTGCATATAACACACGCCAACGGTATTTATTTAAGCAAAGCAGCCGACGCAGCACAAGCAACAACAACAACAACAACTTCAACTTGGCTTATTGAATAAGTCAGGAGGCGAAACGACGGCCAGAAACTTCAATAACAACACCCACGCCCACCCCTGCCAGCATCCGAGCGGAGCACTTGAAAAGTTTGGAACGCCCAAGCCATCGCTTATACGAGTAGTGGTGGTGGTGGTGGGAGCGGCCGACCCAGGCAGGAATCGGCATTCGACGCGAAAGCCACAAATCTACGCAGGAGCTGAAACAACATAATTTGCATAAAATTGACGTTAAAGGTTACAGCAACATTATGAAATGCCAAACATTTACTTAGGCGTTGCCACCAGCCCCCCACTCCCCCGCTAAACTTGCCCCTTGCCGTCAGCGTCGCGTCGCCATATTAATAACCTTAAATCAATTTCATTATTTTGGTGTTATGTTGTTGTTGTTCTTGTTGTTGCCCGCAAGAATGTTACATGCAGAACATGCGTTAAATTAATTTTTTATTTGCGGCAAATATGTGAAAAGGACCCGCCAGCAAATTTCCGACAAATTACAGCGAATGTGTGCGAAAAAAACGCGCTCTCGTTTTACGTGTGATTTTGTTAGAGTGTGGGGAAGAGTCTTTCCTGGGCAGGACTCGCTCATAAACGCATTAATTACAAACCGCTGTGAGGATGCCAGCTGGGAGTGTCAAAATTTCCACATACAAGGGCCTTTTCGAATGTGGTCTGAGAGCAATTTGGTAGCTTAGACATGCTTTTTTAAGTGATAGTCTGCTTGCATGCTAATAGTTATACGAGTTAATTAAAATAATAATTAGCTTAAAATATGTAAACACAGAATAGTTAGTTCATCCCTCAACATTTTCCGGATTTTTGCACTGTTTTGTCCTTTTGCTCTTTTTGAGAGTTCGATCACGTACTCTTAAGCTAATTATAACAGTTCTAATGCTAACACTCTGAAGCCAACAACAATGCTGCTTACTTGCAATGCATTCGAAGAGAGCTCAATATATCAATCAATATTATGCCAAGGAAAAACTGATATAGGGCATTCGATTTCACGCGAAAAAAAAAAAAACACAATTCGTATGCTTGTTTGTAGTTTTATTAGAAGTGAAGCCAAGCTTTAAAGTTCGCAGAAAAAAAAACTGTTATACTTAAGTTGCAATGCGTTCCAAGAGAGCGCAATGCGTTCCTAGAGAGCGCAATGCGTTCCTAGAGAGCGCAATGACTTTCAAGAGAGCGCAACGCGTTCGCACACTACTTGTATAATTTGTAAAGAGCGTGAGCTACCATAAAATAAAACTGTTTAACTTATGTAAATAATTACTCTATCGGAAAAGAAATATAAATGTGGTCTCCAATATTTCCGTAGTGTCGAAAACAACCAAGAGACGACGTAGCATTATTATGTTTAATAGTTTTTAATATTATTTAGATGTAATAACAATGTTTGTTTGTCTGTGTGTATGTTTGTGTAATTATTATATATAAGTACTTTAATGAATAACTTTATATATATGTATGTAATTAGGCTTCACTGATACGTGCGTAGCTCACGAGATTCTGGCACCGACTGAAAATTTGCTCGCTCTCTTTTAGCATTTTGCTCTCTCGGCTCTCGTCGTTTAGTAACGACGGCCACTTAGCGTTGCACGTTTGGTTGCTTACTCTTCTGGAATTTTCCCGATTCCTACATAAATATTTGACGCTGTCATTCTTTTGTTTTGCTTTTCTCAAAAAGATAAAAAAAATCAGCATTCCGCATTTATCTAATCTAATCTAGTTCTCCAAAAAATATAAAAATAAGAAATAAATGATTCATATAATTTACAAAATTTTTACATTTTCCACTCTTTACTTTATTTAACAACAACTGGAAAACAGCTTTGGAAAAAATAAGTTCTATTTCAACGTTAGTCGAAACGCTGCTCCATTAACAACGAATATTTCTGAGCGAACATTGTAACGAGTTATTTGAAAGCTCCAATGAGGTGAAGAGCAAGAGAGTGCTTTGTTCAATTAATTCCCTTAAGCTGTCTTTAAAAAAGAGAAACGAAAAATGAACTCACCTCGTGAGTTATGTCGAAAGTCATTCGAACATGTTTGAGTGTTCTACGCGAGGTAAGGATCATTCCCCCATACCAAAATAAATAATAATAAAATAAAAATATACTTAAGATATGTTTGTTAGCAAGCCAGGAGATGTACTTAAAAGTGCTAGAGAACCAGTAATAATCGAATACGCAAATAAATTTATAAAATTTGTATGCCAATTGCCAACACATGCAGAGTAAATTTGTTTATTCACATATCTTATTACTTTTAATTTCATTAGATTTGGTTTTTTTTTTAAGTTGCAGATTTAATTACTTGTATGTTTTTAATTTCCACATCCAGCTCTTCAGTATGGTGTGAATATAGCGTGAAGGAAGGTTTTCTTGATTTTGATGAAGAACTTGATTATGCAGCGCAAGCCGCACGTTACTTTTGGCCAATTTATGGGTCGCGGAGGCGGACGTATAGGCGGACGTATAGGCGGATATATAGGTGGCGGTGGCGGTGGCGGCGGCGGAGGCGGTGGTGGAGGCGGTGGCGGTGGGGGTGGTGGCGGATGCGGTGGTGGTGGTGGTGGTGGCGGAGGCGGTGGGGGCGGTGGAGGCGGTGGCAGTTGTGGCGGGTACTGAGGCGGATACTGTGGTGGGTACTGTGGTGGGTACTGTGGCGGGTACTGTGGCGGGTACTGTGGTGGGTACTGTGGTGGGTACTGTGGCGGGTACTGTGGCGGGTACTGAGGCGGGCAATGGGGCGGACACTGAGGTGGGCAATGGGGCGGACACTGAGGCGGGCACTGGGGCGGGCACTGGGGCGGGCACGGGGGCAGGCACTGAGACGGGCACGGAGGGAAGCACTGGGGTGGACACGGTGCCGGACACATTGACGGACACTGTGGCAGCGATGGGGCCGGACACAGGGGCGGACACTGAGGTTCCAGCGGCGACTGACGAGACACCAAAGCATAAACTGGCGGCTCGTCATTGTAATATTGCGAATCGTAAAAGTTCTCATCGTATTCAAAATCGTTGATGTGATTGCATTGGTTATTGGGTCTTCGGCATCTCTTCTTCTTGGGCTTCTTCTTTCGTTTATTCGGTATATTGTTGCAAGGTCCAGAACACAGTTCGTCCAGCAGCTTATGGGATTTGGCATTCTTGCACTTGGGCTTGCATTTTTCCATCATTTGCTTTTGTCTGTTGCGCGCCGAATCCA